CGCATTTTTTCCCCCCCCCCCCCCCCATTTTATTCATTCATGTATTTATTTAATTTTTTGCTCATAATGTTGGGAGTTGTGATGGTAGTTCGTGGAAATGAATGCATCCATCAATATTTTTCTGTTCCACCAGTATCAAGAACCGTTGACAGACTTGGAGTTGAAGATAAAATCTTCCATGCTTAAAGCGGGTGAAGCTAGTCTCATGGTAGAGGTCGATGGCTCAACTGGTTCCGAATACGAACCATCCGACGATGAAAACGCTCGTGGTCCAGCCTCCTTTTTCGAGGTGAAGTCGGAAATGTTGTCCGGTGAAGATTCGCGGGCGATGACTGACCAAGATGGCGGCGAGTTTGCTGGCCACCATGGGGACGACGTTGAAGTTGAGGACAGTTACGATCCTGAGGCCCAATTGTTGCTGGACTTCGGACGGCAGAACGCTGTGATGCCCGGCAATGCCCACGGAGGCTTCGATGAAAATCAAGAGGCTATGTATACGCAAGATAGCGGGCTGGGTGCGAGTCAGCATGACTCCCAAGAAAATGCACAATCTGACGTTTGGCCGCAAATTCAGTTTTGAAATTATTTGTATTCTGTATTTGGTGTGGTGAATACATTTTTTTTCGTATGTCGAACCTTATTTTTCTGATTTGAAGAGGCAAATATTTGGCAATGTATTTATTTACAGACCCTTGGTTAAAATAAATCAGTATCACTCTTCCATGCTTTTTCATGCACATCTTCAGTAGAAAATCAGTGTCGACAATATTTTGAACACAGAAGGAAGTTTAAAAACGTCAATTCGTATATGTTGCGGGGAATAATATTGGTCGATCTTTATGAGGAGGCATTTGTTTTCATAAGCATTTGCACGGGGAAAAAGAGTACCTTACAGCGAACGTCTTATAATGAATACGTCGTGTTGGATTGATTGCTTCCATCAACACTAAAATAGAGTATTTTTCTCCAAAATGTCTGATTTGTGAGGGCATTCGGAAAACTTTGTTTTCTTCTGTCAGATGCAAATGGAGTGTTACATCACCAAGACCTGATTAAAACGCCGCAGTGAAGTGCCACTCGGCAACCACCAAAATTTTGCATGGAACTCATCTTCACAATTCTAAATACCGTTGGAACCCATCGTTAAGACGCCATCCAACATCAATCATGGCGAAACTGAAGTGCCGTTTTGGCATTATTGTAGTTTTGTGTTCTTTACAACACCAACATTGGGATGGAAATACAATTTCTGATTGGGATCTTGGATTTTTTAAATAAAAATAAGATGGCAGTGTTCTTGAGCAATTAATATACCTAATTTTACAATTTAAAAAAAATTGATGGAATATGATTAATTTCATTGAAGAGGAAGAATCCACAATAGCAATACATTATTGGACAATTTCTTAAATATCTAAAAAAAACATGCATTTATGCTATTTTTGGAGGAAATTGAATATTTTCAAACAAATTTGAAGAACGAACTCTTCCGTAAACCACTAAAAAGCTGGGAAGTGCTGTGACATCTCATCTGGGTTTGACTGGGAAGTATTTAAATTTGCGACCCCAGGTAGTCATGTCAAATAAACTGTCGACATTTTCAAATTTCCAGAAGGATTCTTTTATGAGAAGAAGGCGTGGTCAATCAAAGACAATTGATGTACATGCTCAAGGTGAGGTATATGTGAAGCATATACGTTGCTTGCTTAAATAAGTTCCATCACTTCCCTCTTGTCCAACGAGGCAATGAGAGCAGGATTTCTTGAATAACATTAATGAGACGTCATACTGTTCATATATCATCGATAATAACCCTAGCAACTGAAGTATACTGTAGTCTTAAAATCGAAAGTCGTATACTGTATCTGACAGATAATCCTTTCATGCAGTAAAGTATACACTGAGAATGACAGTACGTGCTGAGATGGCCCATTTTCTATACTAGCAGCACTTTCTAATTCTAACGGAACCAAGCTTCTGCTGCATATGCTGGGTGCTGGTGAGATTCGTTATCTCTTATAATAGGTCTCACTTCCTTCGTGGTTATCAGTTGTTCTCTATCAACTTCCGCTTGGAAACGTGTCTCTATTTACTTCGGGAATCTTTCGCGATTTTAACAGCAAAATAGAACTTCGTCTAAAACATATAAAATAAAAATACTGTAAGTAACTCGTGCTGGGACCCCGCCGGACGCGCACGACGAAGATTAACTGCTTTGGTTTGTCAGACTTGTTATTTTTCTACATTACTGTACTATACAATGATGATCTTTGCCAGAATCCCGGAATTAATATCGGTTCCGTTTTCGAGAATACTCTTCCGTCCCACTCAAAATCATAAAACAAATACATTGACTGCAATTTTCTGATTTACAGTCGTATTTTCTGGAAAATTTTATGACTGGGCTTCATCAGATTTTGTGGATTCTATGCGGTCAATGTGAAAATGAATAATGCATGCAATTGCATCACGGATTATGTATACCAAATCCTTTCACGTGATTTATTGTCGCACGGATATTCTTGACGCAATACAGCAACGTAAATGTGATGAGATAATACGAAAGTTACTGAAAAATTGGAGCTTTGTCTGGATGAAATTTACAAAAGGTCTAATAATACATGCTGCATTAACGACTGATGAATAAAATGCATAACATTGTGCATGCAATCTAAATGAAATCAAATGCTTCAACGCGATTGAAAATGTTCTGTCACTCACATTTGCACAGCACCATACAGTGGGCTACCACGAAAAACGGGGAAATATTTTTTCCCGACTTCATTTCCATCAGTAATTTTCCAACATTCATCGTCGAAACACCCAGAAAAAACCTGTCATTTGTGGTAGCAGCGCAGCTTCAATCACGTGGAATCGAAAACTTGGAACCGGGGAACAATTATTTCTTCATGATATTCTCGGAATCAGATCGGCCTTGTGCGTAGTTGCTAAAAAGGAATTGATAAAAAGTGATCGACGCAAAATTTCGGGCATGGTTCGGTCTTGGTCATGTTGCAAAATACATCATTCGCAAGGCAGTCGTTTTCATTGGAGAATATTTTTCCTGTGCTGTATACAATATTGTGCGAGAAATCGGTCCGACTTGATTGAAATTGGATTTTTTTTTCGCACAGAGAAACATTTTTTGTCTCCGTGAGATTTTCTGACGCATCGCACATCGACTCGGGCTATTCCACATCACTGAGAAACTCAAAATGGCAAGGTACGTTGATTGCGTCGAATTCATATTACAGTATCTAATTTGTTACACGGCTTCAGACTTCTGTTTAATGTCTGCATGCCAAAAATGTTACTGCATTTGAAGCTTTGCAAATACACTAGTCAATTTATACTTCTGTTGATTAAAGTTACTGCTCGACTGAAACACCGTAATTCAGAGAAGGAATAGCTATTACAGTCGTATATCAATAAACGATGATTAATATACGTCAGCTGCGTTTTAACGCAGTTTGTTTTTTGGATTTGCTTATAGTCGATTTGATTTATTGTCCTGAACTTGTGTTTTCAAATTGTTTTGCGTCGAAGAGGATTACGTTCAAAACGAAATTTCTTTTTCTTTTTCATTAAAAAAGTAACTTTCAGAATTTGCTCAGCACGTTCCTTGACATTTTGTGGAATTGACTACTGTATTTCGTAACAATTTAAGCTCTTCGTTCAGTTTGCATGCAGTACTGTATTAAATAAGCTTATCGGATTTTTCAATATGTGAAGTTAGCAACCAGATTAAAAATTGACTCATCATCGTGCTTGTACATTAGATATTCCAAACAATTTTCGGTGATCATTTTCGAATGATCCGGACATTAGTTGAATTTTTTTATTTTTTAAGAAAAATTTTGGAAAGAAATATCGAAATTGAGTTTGTTAAGAAAGTACTCGCTCGCGTACAAATAATTAATCCATTATGTGTATTCATTTCCCGTCAATGTTTCAATAGGTTATGATTGTGTCAGATGCCTGTCAATAATACGTAAACGTTTATTTTTTGTAGGTTTTTGCTCGTCGTAGCTCTGATCGCGGCTATTTCCGTCGGAATCGGCGGTTCGCCCGTTTCTCAATTGAGTGTCCCAGGACAGCATGGGGGCCAGCAGCAGGATTTCCAGAGACCTGGGCAAGTTTTTGACGCGCAAAAACAACGCACGGGATTTGGGCAAGGCGACCAACACCATCCGCAACAACAACAGCTTCCAGGGGGATACGGAGGTCAAAGCGGTGCTGGACAACAACAGCATACAGCTGCTGGGGTTCAAGGCCAACAATCAGGTCAATTTAGAAGGGACGAGGGCTTGGTGAACCCAGGACAACCGCAGCAGCAGCAGCAGCAGCAGCAACACCGCCAACTTGATGTGAATCCCCAACGTCAGGGGCAACAAAACGTACCATCGGCGCAACATTTCCCTGAACAACAACTACAACGGGCTCAGGCAGTGCGTGTGAACAAGAGAAGTGTCGTGTCGCAACTTAAAGAAAGTTCGCATAATGAAGAAGGAATGAGCGGAAAGGATAAATTGCCGGCGACACGAAGTGAGGGAGAAGGCGCCAAACAAGACCACAAGCAACACGGGGAAGGTCATGAACACAAGCAACATCACGGGGAAGGTCATGAAGCGAAGCAAGGCCACGAAACGGCTCACCATGAAAGGAAATTGAATTGAAAACTGCTTGATAAATTTCCCGGAGAGTGGAAACGGTTTAAAACGGATGCATGAAATTGAAAAATCTTCCGCTTGCAATGGATTATGTACAGTATTCCAGAAAAGCATTGTAAAGCGGCGATGTGTTTCTTCGCAAAAAATTTTTGAGGAATAAAAAAAAGTTTCTAGAATCAATTTATTTGTATCCTTTTTTAATGGGGGGAGGGGGGGGGTGGTGAACATAATCGCCAAACATTGGATAGCCCAGGTTAAACGACCGCATCAGTTGATACATACGAATACGTTTTCCACGGACACCTAATGGTTGTGCATTTGTGGGATTTGAATTTTATTTTATTCCTTAACATTCTTTAAAAATGTTATAAAAATTAGAAATGTAAATTAATTTCAGTACATGTTTTCGAAGTAAAAATTACCTGCCAGATTGCTTACAAAAGCTAATCCCTCAAACGTTTCAGCTAGGTATCGTACAGTTTTTTCTCATAGAAAAGTCATTTCTCATTTCTCATAGAACGTGAAGTTGGAGGAAGCCTTTTTTCATCGATTTTTCAACGTTCTTATCTTCCAGCAGTCACATTCTGTCAATTTGGAGGTTTTCCGTTGGGTTTTCGCGATTCCTCTGTTCTACGATGACGTACTTCAACAAGCTTCCCAATGTGTCTTTAAAACGGGTGCAGGATAAAATCCCGTGGGAGAAAAAATCCAGCGGCCCGAAAATCCCATAGGCCCAAAAATCTCGAAAGGTCCAAAAAATCCCGTAAGTACAAAAATCCAGAAAAATAAATTTTCATATCAGAAAAACCTAGTTTGAAAACTACGGAAGGCAATGGTATTTAAACAATTCAAAATTATCAAAGAAGTCTAAATGCAGTTATATATAGTTATATTTCATTTTCAATCTTAATTTTCAATATACAGTACATAATGTATAGGAAATAAAAAAAACTATAAAAAGTCCACAAATTTGCAACTCTACAAGATTTTCCACCCAAACTGATGCAAGTTTATTACTTCAGAAGGGAAAGCTGTGAAAATCATTAAAATAGTACACAGTTTATATAAAAAAAATGCAGGGATGAAGGCTCCAAATGAAGGCTACATCTTTCCCAGGCTACCTCACCTTTCTTTTGAGAAAGATGAGGAAGTGAAGGGGAGATTCTATTGAGAAATATAATCCCAAAACCTTCCAAACCCTTGGAAGGAATTAAAACCCTTGCACTTTCACAATTTTATGATCCACCAGATTTTTATTCCTACCAGACCATTGGAAGGGTAACCCAGAGACAATAATACAATTTTGTAGTGGGATTTTTGTAGCTACGGAATTTTCGTACCTACGGGATTTTTGGACCATGCGAGATTTTCTGGCCTACGGGATTTTTGGCCTCACCAGATTTTCGGGCCGCGGGATTTCATCATGGAGCCCTTTAAAACTGATGGATGCCGGTCGCACATTTTTAAAATTTATTTTCGTCAGCCAGTCCATCTCCATCGTCGATTTTATCGAAAATGTCCCAATATCGCAACGTTCTCTTTTAAACCGAAATAAATTTTTATTCTCGTGTCAAAAGTCGTAGTTGGATATTTCGCTGAACTGGAGATATACTGATGGATACAAAAATAAAATAAAAATTTGAAACCAACACCGGCAACGGCTTGAGACTGTTAATTGATTCACCTGAGCATATTCTTGACTCGATGCCATAATCTACCGGCACTTGTACTTCAGTATGAGAACGAAAGCAACGTTTTATTACCAAAAAAAAAAATCTACGCAATTTGAGCACGTAAATTGCATCCGATTCGCAAGAATATCCTCATTCCAGGTAAAGGCTGAGTCGTGGGATTTTTCTGCTACCGCAATGGTGCAATCGTAAATGCGCAGGATCTCGGCGTAGAAGTATTCCCGTCGTCCGGTTTCAACCTCTTTAATTCCCCGCGGTCTCGTGAGCACGGTTGAGGGGTAATTTAAAACAAGAAAAAAAAAACAGCGGCTTGTAAATGATCACATTTATGATTGAATATTCTCGGAAGAGTCGACTGTCCTGCATGCAGCTGCTGCCTCACGTCTGCAAGAGGGTTCCCTCCAAAACTGGGCAACAGCTTTCTGGTCAGCACGAAGACGCTATATAAACGTCGGACGATGTGTCTGTTGATGGTCAGAATGGTCTAGTTCTTTGCTTGAGCTGGACACGCTGCTGCTGCAGATAACCCGAGAGTCTTATCTTCTCTGTGTAACAGATGCGGTAATGTTAAGCTACGAAAAAAAAAAAAAAAAAAAAAAAACAGGGAAAAAACGTCTCTCGTCTAAAAAAAAAAAAAAAAAAAAAAAAAAAAAAACGGGGAAAAAATGGGACAAATTTTAAACTGGAGGATCTTTTGCAATAGACATACCTTAGTTTTCAGAAGCCCTTCAAAAAAAAAAGTTCAACTTGAGTATTTTTTTATTGCTGTAACGTTCCCCATTCATTTGTTCGGAAAGTTAAATGTCAGGTCAAGTTTTTGAGTGCGTTTGTGAATATTATTGCTTCGAAGCACATACCTTAGTTTTCAGAAGCCCTTAAAAAAATGTTCAACTCGGGTATTTTTTTTTTATTGCTGTAACGTTCCCCATTCATTTGTTCGGAAAGTTAAATGCCAGGTCAAGTTTTTGTGTGCGTGTGTGAATATTATTGCTTCAAAGCATTTTGTTGATTGTGGGATATTGAGCAACTGGGAACTCGCCAAGGAACAAATTATGGTGATTCCTGATCATACTATTATTATTTTTCCTTTAGAAAACGTGAGAATACCCCCTGTGAAATTGAACTAAGCTTTTCAAGGAGTTCAGCGAGAATGACAAGGTGAGTACACGATTCCTTGGCGCATGCTACCTTCATTTTTTCAAAAGTTTAGTCCGACCTGAAAGCAAATTTTTTTTAAGAGGACGAGGTACAGAATTTAACAATCCGTGAGAAATTTAAAGAATGCCCCGTGATCGTGCTCGTTTTGTATTTTCATCTGTCAAAGTAATGGTATGCTTTCTGTGGTTATTCCTATAAAGAACTTTAAAAAACAGCACATCCAAAAAGTTGCCATAGTAAGAGGATACGTTCATTCAAATTGTCATATTTAAAATCGAAGTGATGCAATAAATTAAATTTAGGATAGAACCAATTAATTCATGGAAATTCGAATTTCCAGCATTTTTCCCCATAGAGTACTGTATTTGAAATTCAAGCACATAACATAAATGCAAAGATTGAGATGCTGTAATTTTTAAAGTTTAATTTGACAAAATAGTGCCGATGTTAGAGCGAGAAGCATACTTTCCTAATTGGATCAGCTATTATTGAGAGACAATCGGTACATTTTGATGTGACATTTCTTTCTTAAAAAATCGAATGATCGGAGGATTTTATGAAAAATAAAATTCTCTCGCATCGAGAGAAATTTTCTGTGAAGTTTAATTGGTCCATATATATTCAACCATCTCTTATTGGAATGCTACCGGGATCAATGAACCATTCGTTGACCTCAAAACTTTCTGAAACAGGTTCCTGCCTCGTGCAGCGCGATTAGCGCTGGCCTTCTCAGTCTGTTTGTCGGTCATCGAAGCCCAACGTGGAGGAAGCGGCGGCGGGTTTCGTCCCGGATCCGGCGGCTCTCACGGCGGTGTCGGTGGTGGCGTCGGCAGTCATGGAGGCGGCGGAGGCTTTGGTGGTGGCGGTAGTCACGGAGGCGTAGGCGGAGGCTTTGGTGGTGGCGGCAGTCACGGAGGCGGAGGCTTTGGTGTTGGCGGCAGCCCGGGAGGCGTAGGCGGAGGCTTCGGTGGCGGTCATGGAGCCGGCAGTCATGGAGGCGGCAGTCATGGAGGCGTAGGCGGTGGTTTCGGCGGCAGTGGCGGAGGATTCAGGCCCGGTGGAAACTTGAATGGCGGAGGAATCGGTGGTGGATTCAACCCCGGCGTCGGGGGTGGTTTCAACCCCGGACATGGCGGTGCTGGTGGATTCAATCAGGGACACGGCGGGGGATTCAATCAAGGACACGGTGGCCACGGTGGCGGCCATAATGGCGGCAGTCATCATGGCGGCGGTCATGGCGGTGGTGTCAATTTCCCTGGTCATGGAGGACACCACGGTGGCGGTGGCGGACACGGACATGGTCATCATCATGGGCGCTAAACAATTTATCCCCCCCCCCGTTCAACATGTTTTCCAATTCTTTTAAAAGCGATATTTTGGTACAAAAATGTTTTTTTGCTCTTCCGAAAATAAAAATGGAAACACAATCTCATAAATTGTGAATTCGTTACAACGTTTGATGAAGAAGGCTGTTTGCGATTTCAGATTTTCATTTTTCAACGATCGCGACAAGTCGGTTACCAATTTTTCATTTATGCGATTACGGACTAACATTTGAAGAGCAGGTCAATCTCATGAAATGCACACCGCTCTTTTGTCGTAAATTTATTGCAGCAGCTACATTTTCAAGCATGGAGTTACTCAAACTTCTTGCGCTATGAAGAAGCCCTTATAATGAACAATTTACACTGTATATACTGATACGGAATATTAATTTTCTTTATTCCTCAACTTTCAGTTATCGCAGTCCTCGCCAATAATTTATTGGTACAGCATTAAATCATCATTTAGTTTTTCTTTTGATTCTTTTGAGCAAGCCACAGATTTCCCGAAAGGGCATGAGTCATATCATTCAAAGGATTCGTGGGTTAAAATGCAGTATGAGCAAAGAAAAAACCCAAGAAAATAAGCATGGTTTTGGTTGTATTTCGATGAGAAGCTCAAACCGTTTACAGAAAATGTTGGGTATTTACACTCGCTGACGTGCACAAAATAACAACGAAAAGTCGAGTTGATATGATGACATATTATGGCATACTCTTTGTACAATGTCACCCGTGCCCGAACCACGTGAGAAAAAAAAACCTATTCTTGTCGAAATTGAAAAGAAAGCTCATTCCAGAAATGGGATAAATTCGGCGGATTTCGTTCAGACAGCTGCATCATAACTGACTACACTGAGACAAGATATCCCCTCTCTTTCTCACCGTTCACACGATTATAGAATCTCTGTATACAGTTACACTCTTCAGGCATATTTAGTTCATGCCAAGTTCTAAACCACGACATGTAAAATTTGATTTAAAATTATTCTTCGGAAATGTTGATGCTCGTGCATCTCCACGAGACATTTTGCAAGTGATTTTCACGAGCTTTTTCGAGAACTGAAATCAAATTAGAAATCGTAATAAATTGGAATTTCTTGTCCTAAAATTACCGTTTGTCTCTCAGCCTTTCACAGGGAATAATTTTCTCAACTTATCATGCGTCAACCAGGGAGTTACTTGGCCGAATAAACACTCCGAACAGATTTGGTAATCTTTTTCGACTCGTTGGAATTGTAAAGCGAAGGCAAGATTTTGTTTACAATTTTAAATCCTGTCAATACACAAGCAGCATTGTGATTGTGATTATTCTTATTCCTCGAGCGATCGATGGGCTTTGACTATACAGTAATCAACACAGCTGCAAGAAAGGCATACACCGCACGGGACAGATAGAATGCCTTTGTTTAAAAAAAAAAATGTGAACGAAATATATGCGTCGTTTTCCTCCTCAAAACTGGACAAAAGAACCTCGGGCTTTCCAGAATACAGTAAACAAATGATGACGGAATATTTCTTGGCCACAATCATCAGACTTGCTCGTGGCTTTTCATAGCATTCGGTTTGTCGTCGTCGTTCTTTTCTTCCTGGTCGTTGGCATCCGTGTCAGAGGTGTTCGTTGGAAGGGCATTTATGGAATCCTGCGAACTTCCGCGTCCTGAGCTCACCGAATCTTCAGAACTGTCTTCTTCCTTTTTGTCACTTTTGTTGCAATTGAGATCATTGCTCAATAATCCACACTTGCACGCCTTTACTATGTGACTGCGGCAGATGCGCGAAGTTTTGTTATCATCCGCTGTGTTGGTTGTTTCTCGACCGTTGCCTTCGTCTTTACCCTCGGGGCTGAAGAAAATAAGGCCGGATCAAAAGTTTTGCAATGCGCAAAAACGTATATTTTTTTCAACTACCTATTGACTTTATGACAATAAGTTGAAGTTCTTTTATAGGCAAGGTAGAAAGTTTAGGTTCAGCCGTTTTTATCCTCTGTAATGCCATAGACTTTAAACATGGCACATTTTTTATATATCACGTAAAAACTGCGAAGGCATTTGGCGAGCACAGTATCTTAGGGGATTCAGCCCACAAAAATGAATAAATACGTGGAAAATGTAGAGACGTGTTGGTTATTTGTATTTATTCCATGGCACTTATTTTGTTTATTCTATTATTCTAATTTTATTTATTCTACTAAATATATTTTATTTATTCTACTAAATATATTTTATTTATTCTACTATACATATTTTATTTATTCTTTTCAATATGTATACTTTTATGAAGCACAATTGGTCCACTAAACCTGCCGATTCGAAACGAATCGGCGAATTTTATTTTTCCCCATAAGTTACATTTACGTATCTAATCAGTATTGTCGCGTCAAGATACTATAATTGAGAATTCGTTTTATTGGAAATTCTTTATGAACCCAATAGAACAAAAATGGTGTAGCTTTCACGTACTATATTTAAACAGTGCTAGACGTACGATTATATGAGGTCCTACAGCTGTGGCTAACATTTGCAGTATAATTTAAGGAAATACGACAGTACAGTGCTGTGCATTATAAACTAACAGAAGCCAAATGGCTGCTGTATGTTCGGCACTTTACCTCTTTTCCTCGGCAGGCAGTATGGCGAGCATGGCCGTGCTCTTGCAACGAGGACACGTGTGGGACACAACCCTGTCCAAGCCTTGACTGTTGGTCCACGAGCCTAAGGCAACAGTGGACGCGGATGACGACGAGGTTGCTGTCTCTGGGACATTTTCCCACGAACCGTCGCTCGCCCTGATGCATGCAGGCGAATGTTTGCTCAAGTCTGTGCGAGACGAACTTGGGGACACTTCGAAACGGTACTTGGCTCCTCTTTTCCCCTTGAGCCATTCGGACAGCGAGAATTTGTCCTTCATTATTAAAAAAAATAAAATAAAATAAATCAACAAAAGATGAGGAAATAAAATGAAAAATCAAATAAAAAATCAAATGACATGAAAAACGAATCAAATTATATCAAGAAAAACGAAGCATATGATCTCAAAAAAATAAATCAAACTCAATCGAAAAAACTTAAATTTAATTTTAAAATTTAAATATTCTAAATAATTTAAAATACAATAAGTAGTTGAATCAAATGTTATGAAGAAAAATAAATTAGATAATATCAAGGAAAAACAAATACAATTATATTCAGAAAAGATTACTCAAATGATGTAATGAAAAGTAAATGAAATAAAACCAAGGAAATAAATAAAATGCAATCTAGAAAATAAATCAAAATATCAATAAAAGAAAATCGATAAAATTTAAATTTTAAAATCAGGAAAAATGTAAAAGAAAATGTTGAAAAATAAATACTGTACTGTAAATTTAAATCGAGAAAAAATAAAATTGAAAAAATCACATAAAATCAGTAGAAATAATTGAAATAAAATCGAGAAAAAGGGATAAAAAAGCAAGAAAAAACCGAGAAGAATAAATATTTTAAGAAGGAAAGAAGCTGTGTATAGGGCCAAGTCTTATCGATTTTTTTTTCAAGTAAAACAGACACCTCGTTTATCAAGACAGGCTCTTGGCTGTCAAGGTTCATGGACGCAGTAGAGATGACGCTGTCTCTGATTTGTATCCGCGGGCGTAAGATTGGAGTTACTGCCCCGGGCGAGGATTTCAGGTCCACAAACGCTAGCACCTCGTTCACTTGCTTCCGGCGCAACCTATCGGCTTTACCGACTTCCGGGTCCGGGTCTCTGCCCCTCTCTTCTTCACACTCGTCTTCCCCATCCACGGAAATCGCCGGAGGGTGCAACAAGCTCAGCAACACAGGCATCACCACGCATCCGTGGAAGGTTCCGTACGCC